AAAAATTGAGTTTGGAAGCGAGCGGTTGCGGAAGGCGGGGGCGGACCGGAGCGGAGCGGAGGTAGTGGAATTTGGGGGTACGGGAGAGCTGTTGTTCTCAGGGAGAGATTTAGAAGCAGCTTCCTCGTAAGGGGATATTTAGTCTTAGCTTTACGCTTTTTGCATTTTTAATTTTGAAATAAAATTTTGGGAAAAAGAATCCTCGTTCTCAATTCTTAAAGGACTCTTTTAGCCTTTGAGTGGGAGCCCCGACCAGACCTGGTAGCAAAGGTAAGCCGCCTTATTGCTTGTACCTGTACTTCAGGACTTGTTTCAGGTTGTGACAGATAAGAAAAGATACCTTAGGTAATGAGACCTTAGCCTCTTCTCCTCCCTATTGTAGCGGGACATCCTAAGGGTAATAAACCATAATGGTTAGTTGGTTCAAACAGACTCTGTTCTGCACGTGTGAAAAAGTCTCTGTTTAGCGTGGGAAGGAACCATTTCAAAGGGTGGATCAATTAGATTAATTGATAAATCTATGTTAGCCTGATCAACTAACGGGAATCATTTTTTAGTTACCACCGCCCACATTGCTGACAGAGGTGCAAATTAATCTTGATAGGACCCAAATAATAGTCAGCTGTGTTGGCCTCCAGTAAACTCTCGCCCTAGTACTCAAAACCGCTGAGTAACGAGAACCTACAAGGAGGGTGTGTTGTCACAGGAAACCAAGTACGGCTATTCCATTCCACCTTAAAATGGAAAACAAGTTCTAATAGGGAGTCCAAACCAGGGTCTGTACAATAAAACTCACCGCGGCCTCAACTGCCCTGAAGAAGCAGCGTATTCTAACGGAACCACTAAGAGGACGCTCGCTACATGGCGCTCAACGGCGGGGCTTGAGTGAAGGTAAATACTAGATACCAGACTCACCGAAATAGGACTGTTTTCTAGGCTGACAAAAGCTTGCGCACCATGGACCTTGTAAGCTTATAACCTTGGAGTAAGTGAAAAACCGCACCATCTCTAAAAAAAAGGAAGAGATGGGGAGAAAGGAGGACTAACTGAAAGAAAAGGTAGAAAGAAACAACGGCATTCCGACGTGAGAAAAGCCAAGGATAGACTGGGAAAAAATAAAAATAAAACGTAAAATCAAATAAATTTATAAAAAATAATATAAACTTTTAACCAGCCATGACAGATAGATCTTTAACAGTAAAGCCGGAAAATATTCTCCCTAACATGAGATTTGTAACCGGAGAAATAACCACATATCAAGGTGGACCACAGGGCATATTAGCAGTATCCTGTAACCGGAACTTTCAAACTGCAGGAGGAGCAGCGGCTCAGCGCTGCCCGCAGGCTGAAGCCCAGATAAGAAATGCTCATGTTTTTCCATTAGTAGGAGATGTGGTGATTCGAGGAGACCACCCAACGAACAGCATGTTTCAGTATGGAAGGAGGAAGAAACCCAGAAGCAGTTTATTACACAGACGGATCCAAAAAAGGAGAAGATGGAGACACGTGTAATTGGGGGGTTTGTGAGACAGATAGGAATGCGGAAGTACAAGCAAGCAGGGCAAGTGATCGGTTCGACCCAAACAGCAGAACTGACAGCAGTAGTAATGGCACTTGCTGACGCAAGCAAACTTAAACTTAAAGCAGCGAGATTAGTCACAGACTCCAGATATGTGAAGGATGGGTTAGATGACAATCTGCCGTTCTGGGAAGCCAGAGACTTCCAAGAAAACGATGGGGAAAAGCTTGAGCATGCTGATTTGTGGACACTTGTATCGTGCTACGTGAAAAAATTACAGATAGTGGTAACGCATGTAAACAGTCCTACTGGAGGTGTTGGAGCGGATGAGCTGGGTATGGATGAACTGGTGCAGGCTTGAGGTTTGTTCCTACCTACAGCGTTTTTACAGAACTGAACTCCCGCAGGTGATGAAGAGCTAGTCACCCATGCACATGAGACGTATGGACATGTAGGCTTATTACGCTTGCGTGAGATTTTCAAAAAGGAAAAAAATCATGTACCAAAATTAAGAGAACTAACAGCACAAGTGAAAGCTAAATGTGAGCAGTGTAAATTAAAAGGCGGTGCTCAGCCAGTAGATTATGAGAATAATCAACAGGAAGGAACAGTAGAGTTCCTTCCTGGCACTCGCAGAGTACAGACGCTTCTCTTTTTGCTCCCTTGTCTTTTTTTTCCCAAGGCTCTTTGTCCTGTCTGCCCACAGAGCGCTTCTCTGCATTTCTTCTGAAAAACCCTATTTTTAACTATGGATTTGAGGAATTGGTCATTCAACGCAGTCCATAAGATTTTTTCAACAATGAGAACGGAGCAGGGGGCTCCCACTTGCCCGCAAGGGACACACCTGGCAGGGTATATGCTGGATTCCTGGAGGGAGTGGAAAATTGTACGCCTCTCCCAGCTGTCCATTGAGGACGTCGAAGATGTGTGGATGTTTGGCCTAATGATCACTAGATTTCTTCTGATTGGAGTGGAAGGATATCTGGTTTTCTGGAAATTTGGGAAGACGGGAGCGATTGGAGGGCGACCCGCACCCAAGGAAAGCACCGTCCGTGTGGAGACCTCACAGACTGGGACGTTACTCGAGGTGAATCGTAAGCTGGACAATGTTCTAGCTGCGATACCGGTATTAGTGCGCAAAAGGGATGTCATCTCGGAGAGGGTCACCGGACGGTATGGACAAGTTTTAAAAACCTAACTTGGCTTCACTGAAGAACTGGAATGATCAGTAAAGACTGAAGGCAGAGAGGAAAATTATCTCAGCCTGACCCAAACAAAGTCTTGTTATCCGAATCTGACGCCAGAGCAGCCTCGAGATGCTAACAACAAACCCCCACGATGGAATGCAGACGGACTCTCTTTACAGCTTTCCCACCTGAGAGTCTAAGGAATGTCAAAATGTGTGTGCGTTAATCTTTGTGTGTGTGCTCAATAGATGTTTTCGGAAGGCGTCAGTCTGATGAGAGTGAACTGAGACCTTGTCTGGTGTGTATCTTTCCTCTCCACTTTGCAAAGTCTAAATTTTGATTGTTTATGATCGGTATTGGTATTGATTGATTACTATAACCCCCTGTGCTTTAAACTTTCCCTAAGGTAATCTTGGATTGATAAAATTACCCAACAGACCCTCTTCCTATTGAAAAAACAAAAGTTGGATCCAAGATGGCCGATTCAAAATGGCCACCATGGTCACCACCCATTTTGAAAAGTTTGCTCCCTCACATATACTAATGTGCCACAAACAGGATGTTAATTTCACCAACCATTCCCATTTTATCAAGGTGTATCCATATTAATGGCCCACCCTGAAATAATGAAGAAAATCAAGTCTGTAACTAGTTAGAAAAGTAGTTACCACACCTTACAGGTGCTGGCCAGTAAATTAGAATATCATCAAAAGGTTGAAAATATTTCAGTAATTCCATTCAAAACGTGAAACTTGTACATTATATTCATGCAATGCACACAGACCAATGTATTTCCGATGTTTATTACGTTTAATTTTGATATTTATAGGTGACAACCAATGAAAACATCAAATCTGGTATCTCAGAAAATTAGAATATTCTAAAGGCCAATGAAAAAATGTTTGTTTCTCTAATGTTGGCCAACTGAAAAGAATGAACATGAAAAGAATGTGCATGTATAGCACTCAATACTTAGTCGGGGCTCCTTTTGCCTCAATAACTGCAGTAATGCGGCGTGGCATGGACTCGATCAGTCTGTGGCACTGCTCAGGTGTTATGAGAGCCCAGGTTGCTCTGATAGTCGTCTTCAGCTCCTCTGCATTGTTGGGTCTAGCGTATTGCATCCTCCGCTTCACAATACCCCATAGATTTTCTATGGGGTTAAGGTCAGGCGAGTTTGCTGGCCAATCAAGGACAGGGATACCATGGTCCTTGAACCAGGTGCTGGTGGTTTTGGCACTGTGTGCAGGTGCCAAGTCCTGTTGAAAGGTGAAGTCTGCATCCCCATAAAGTTGGTCAGCAGCAGGAAGCATGAAGTGCTCTAAAACTTCCTGGTAGACGGCTGCATTGACCCTGGACCTCAGGAAACAGAGTGGGCCAACACCGGCAGATGACATGGCACCCCACACCATCACTGACGGTGGAAACTTTACACTGGACCTCATGCAACGTGGATTCTGTGCTTCTCCGCTCTTCCTCCAGACTCTGGGTCCTTGATTTCCAAAGGAAATGCAGAACTTGCTTTCATCAGAAAACATAACTTTGGACCACTCAGCATCAGTCCAGTCCTTTTTGTCCTTGGCCCAGGCGAGACGCTTCTTGCGCTGTTTCTTGTTCAAGAGTGGCTTGACACACGGAATGCGACACCTGAATCCCATGTCTTTCATGAGTCTCCTCGTGGTGGTTCTTGAAGCGCTGACTCCAGCTGCAGTCCACTCTTTGTGGATCTCCCCCACATTTTTGAATGGGTTTGTCGTCACAATTCTCTGCAGGGTGCGGTTATCCCTAGAGCTTGTACACTTTTTTCTACCACATTTTTTCCGTCCCTTCGCCTGTCTGTTAATGTGCTTGGACACAGAGCTCTGCGAACAGCCAGCTTCTTTAGCAATCACCTTTTGTGTCTTGCCCTCCTTGTGCAAGGTGTCAATGATTGTCTTTTGGACAGCTGTTAAGTCAGAAGTCTTCCCCATGATTGTGGTGCCTTCAAAACAAGACTGAGGGACCTTTTAAAGGCCTTTGCAGGTGTTTTGAGTAAATCAGCTGATTAGAGTGGCAGCAGGTGTCTTCTATATTCAGCCTTTTCAGAATATTCTAATTTTTTGAGATACCAAATTTGGAGTTTTCATTAGTTGTCACTTATGAATATCAAATTTAAATGTAATGAACATTGGAAATACATTGGTCTGTGTGCATTGCATGAATATAATGTACAAGTTTCACGTTTTGAATGGAATTACTGAAATATTTTCAACCTTTTGATGATATTCTAATTTACTGGCCAGCACCTGTATACGTGTAGGCTGGCATTACTCTTTGTGGAAAGCTATTCTGGTAACATGATGGGATAATTGGGGAGGAGGAATAATCTAATGACTACCCACAGCTTCACACAATTAGATTGGTTGGAATGTGCTGTATATTTTTAGTTAATGCAGTCTCCTACCCACAGAGGTTAAACTTAATGCAAATGCTTTGATTTAATCTTTGAAAAAGCTAAACGCTGAAAATATGTTTGACCATTTATTCTTTGTAAGAAATCTCCTGAGCAGGACTTTGTCCTCAATCCTGGTCCTCAAGGGCCACTGCGGCCATGTTTCTATATGTCCCTTCTATGATTCCCAACCAGTGATTAATAGGCTTCTGAAAAACCGAGGGCATGCTGAAGAGGTCGATCAGTCAGCGAAGGGTGTGGGTGTTTTGGAGTTAAAACATGCAGAGACCAGGATTAAATAACCCCAATCTGTAATCACTTTGTATTTATGCTAATGCATTTTCTTTCCCGTTTCTCCTGTCAGATTTTGGAAAATGGAGATGCGTTAACATGGAAGACGAAAATGCCTCATTTCAAAATTAACATTTTGACAGCGGCACAAGTACGTGGTCGCTTATTTTACTCTTGTTTACAGCTTGTATTAAATTCACAGCCTTTGTTTGGATTATCCCATCTCTCCACCATTCCTAATAACCATTAAATTCAGTGTTTTAACTTATGTAGTCCCCTCCACCTTTCTAAAGATCATCTACTGGCAGTAGAACGTGAGGACGTTCTGTTGGTTTCCTCGTATTAATACCGCAGGACAGTGGAGGCCACAGGTCAGGGTGTCCAGCCAGGCCATGTACAGAGCACTGGGACAGTCACTTTGTGGAACCGGAAGGCTCCTGGGGGATAAAAATAATATTCACATCATCATTATTGAATATAACAACAACAGATAACATCTAATGACAAAGCAAGTGATTGAGTATTGGTCTTTCATCACTTTTCATATTTAAAAAGTACATTTCTGGGTAAAATGAAAGTTTTCTGTTTCTTGTAGACTGGACGCTACTGCTGAGTGCCTCTAAATCTCGGATCATTACTGAGCAAGTACTCACACAAGAACTAGAGCAGTATGTTGGGAATTCTTTCGGATGATTTCGTTCAGCCTCACTTTACTTTCAGACTGTAGAGAAAAGGAAATAAGCTGACTTTAGCCGCATTAAAGAGAAGAGACATGTACAACATATTTTCATACACAAATATTTGACAGAAAAAATGAGTCATCCCACACCGCGTTAGTTCAAACACAAACCTTTAGCTTGAAGGCTTCATACTCTTTATCAGATATATTCCAAGGAGCTTTCTGTCTCAGTTCCTGCATGGAGACGCCTTCCTGCTGCTCATCAAACAGCCTGAAGGGGGCGACATTCTCCTCAAACCTGCTCAAGCTGCAAAGCAACATCGAAGGAAAAATAACTGTTGTGTTATCTAGACACGTAATAGTAAAGATTAGATTCAGCTTTTAAAAGCAGGTGACATTAACTTTAGGTCTACAGCAGTGGTAATGTGCCCCCATGTGGTGGATTCTGGATATGTCACTTTATTCTACCATGAATGTGTTAATTATAAATAGTTTTACGTGAATGGACATTAGACATGCTGTGACCTTTTAGGATGAGGACGTTTGTCTATGTCTGTCATAACTATGACGTCATGAACATCCAGGCGAAACCTCTTCAGCAGAGCAATCATCCTAAAAGAAAAGAAAAACAAATAAGCTTACAAACTTCAGGTGTTCAACACTAATCCAGTCCTCTTTAGCAGATTATGAATAGAATGTTTAATCACAGTAGAATAAATTCCAGATTGAGTTGCCTAAATTATATTCTCAGATTTATTGGAATGGTGACTAATAACATTTGTAACCAACGTTCATGATTCAAATGCCTCTTTAATTAGAACATTTTAATAAAACCGAAAATTGAAACATAGTAAAAAAAAAAATTCTTAACCTAAAATTGTGATTTCCTACACAATAGTGACGACTCACCTAATTAGTTATCAATTTCAAAATTATTGACAAAGAGGAGCTAAAATAGCAAAAACAATAATATTAACAGCATCAAGTATTGGTAAAACAAGTAAAAGGTGGTTCAACAAAATACGGACATTTCAGGGGTGATCTTTATTAATCTCCGAATTAATTGTTTTCATTTTTGTAAGTTTTTCTGAACTGTAATTGTAATATTTTTCTGTTTGATGTTACGTGTTGTATTTGATAAGGAAAGCTGGTAAAATATATTTTGTTTGTTTTCATTTAAAGGCCCCGTGTGTGAAATCCATTGAAATCAAGATGAAAAAATGCGACTCTTTAGCGCCACCCAGGTCAGAGAAAGTATTGCATCTAGGGTGGCCCACTCATGAGTTTGACTGTATAACCAAGTTCCAACCTGTGTAGCCTAACCCACACGAAGCTTAAAACAAGCTACTCAACCTCTTTAGAAAACATTTATAATTATGACTGTTTATCAATCTACCAGTACTGAAGGAAGCAAGCTAGTTCTGTTAAAGCTGTCACCATTCACACAGGGAGGAGGGGTGACGTCAGCCGGGAGGTCCGGTGTTGTGAGAAATTGTGTTCCCCTGAAATATTTTCAAAAGTGTGGGGGATGTTGTCTGTGCCTAAAATAATTTCATGTTACTCATCTTGTTAGTTTAATTTCCATAATAGCGGAGCAGGTGCGGATTTCAGACGCGTCACGCACGTCTCCGTTTTAAACATGTTTAAACTGTTCAGAATACAAATCCAGGCTCTGTCTCGTTAGATTGTTGTAACTAAAGTTTGTACTGAATGAAACTTTACATGAAACCATGTTGAAAAGAGAAGGATCCGATTAAATCGTCTCCCCCTCATTTACAGTCACGGAGTACAGCTTAGTACGCGTGGCTCTGGGGTTAATCAAGTTTAATTGTTTCTCTTTGCAACAATCTTCACAAGAAGGCAAAACAGTTAAATGGCAGCTTACAGATATTTCCATTTGACTGTTTATTTTGACGGATAAGCTCAAGGATGTTGGTTGTTTTGAAAGAATTACCGCGACGCACACTGATGCGCACACAGATGAGCTGACATTTTAATCATTATGCACATCGCAGAGGTAACTAAATCAATCAAGAAATGATTCCCATCAGAACATCAGAGCTTTATACTGGACACTGTGCTCAGCACGGCTCGGAGCGCCCACGGTGGACAGTGGGCTGAAGATCTGTAGAGAGGTTTGCAGCGCAGTGCAGAACCACGGCGCATGCGGTAAGATTTCTTCCCACTGAAACGGTCTGGAAACCCGGTCTCTCTGATGGATGTGTCACTTGGAAAAATGTTTACTGATTATGAAACTTTGGCTGAACAGCACATGTTCCCATCTCTAATATGCAGACACGTGATGCATCCAGTCGACCTTACCAATGGCTGCTTATTAGGGTCAAAACGCCCTGGGGAGTGCAAACTTAATCAAAATAACGAGTCGTCAGACTCGCTTTCATCAGTGGCAAGTGAAGAGGTAAATGTGTAAAACATTTAGGAATAGTCAAAGTTTTGTAACTGTTTGTTACAAATCAGTAAATGTGTTTTGTCTTCAAGGGGTCCCGTAGAAGGAAACATGGCATCTAATATAGCGCCGCCCTGCGACTTAGACACGCTCCCATGTATTTTAGACCTGATTTTTATGGCTATATGTCATAAAGCTGCCAATATTTTTCAACAACTGGGCGTCGTTTCATTAATTTTCAACATTTTGATAGATATTTCTAGAGATTAATGGTAAAATCTACACATTGTCCCTTTAAACCAACAACAGCCTTCCCCGTTGCGAGTCAAGATGGCTGAGTCCATGAATGTTTAGTTACAGTGTGACATAGATCTGTCAAGCTTTTCAGATCCTAGAGTTTCACCATCTATTTTCTATCAGAAGCTGATGCAGGAGATAGGTGTAGGAGACTATTTTCATGTTCAGCCTGCATGAAAAACCAATTACAATCAGAAATAAAATTAAAAAGTGGTTTTTCAGTGATTCACATCCTTTAAGGATGAAAAGGAAACATAATTAAGGTGGGTGATTTGTTCTACACCCACTGTATTTGTACAGTGTAAGTGGGGAGATAAAACACCTACTCATTGCGTCCCTCTTCCATGTTATGTTCATCTCCCACGATGAAAACTCTGACCTTACACCTTCGCCAGCGTCTTCTCCTGGTGAACAGATACGGCACCAGTAACGTCAGACCTGCAACGAGACAATTTTGAAAAAATGAAGCTAACTTGTTATGTTTTTTTTTTAAACAGGAATTATTTTTTACTAAATCAAAATTAAGCAAGACTGAAAAAATAAATAAGTAAAACACCTCAGTGTAAAACCTTTTTTACTAACATACTTATTTAATGTAGGTAATTAGCATTTCTTTCAGCTCTGGGTTATTGCATTTCCACTACAGTGTTAAATAGGCGAGGTAAACCGTTTTGCTTCTCTTCAGTGGCTGATGCGTCACCATCTGTAGCAGCAGCGTTTTATTGATGGTTGGGACTAGGGATGGGTACGTTTGACATTTGAATCGATTCGGTACTAATTCCCGGTACCTAGGAATCGATACCGGTACTTAACGGTACCAATTTTCGATACTTTTGGGTGTTTAATATTTTAATTTTCTTTTATAATTAAATATATATTTTTCTCAATATATAACCATATTTGATAAATATCACGATAAATAACATACCACTGTTTGTATTTTAACATCGTCCTTGTAGTTTTATAAGCTGATAATTAAACTGAAGCAAACATCTTTACTGTGAACTAAATTTACTGTATATCTTCATTCCTTTTGCCGTCCTTTTTCATTTGATTTTTCCTACTGGGAAGTTAGAATTTCCGAGGAGAAAGCGAACGCACCATTTGCTGATAACAACGGTGGTACAGGAAGCTAACATATCAAGCTAACGTTATCTTAAACAGTTTATTTAGCTGCTGGAGCAGATTAAAACGATGATGCCTCACACTTAGATCGTTGTCGCTGGTTTCATCTTCACCCAATCACCCGTCGCATTTAGTGAAGTGGACCCAAGCTTTAGCGTGCGTTCTTTCTACCATGCTGCTCTGTTTACAACTGGCTCGCAGCGACCGACGACATAACGCTCTTGCGCATGCGCAGCTGTCTAGGCAAGTTCTCGTTATGAAGGACGGGTACCGAAACGAGGCACCGTTTCAAATGAAGTGAATCGTTGCTCAGTCTTTACTATGGAATTCGGTCGGTACCTTAAAAAGTACAGAATTCGGTACCCATCACTAGTTGGGACTGCTCATCTGTACTCAGAGTTTTAAAGGGACGCCAGGCCATTAATGTGGTAAACCCTGGTCACCTGCTTTGTTTCTGGTTGCTAAATTCAAAATCTAATACCTCCTATTCATTTGTACCAATTAGCATCATTTAAACTCACCTCCGTCATCTGCAATCCAGTAGACATCGATAGTTTTCTTCCCCTGGCTGTTTTGAAACACCGTCTTGATCTGATCACTGTTGTCTTCATCAGACACGTCATCGGCTACAAAAACCAGCAAAGAACAAATATGAGAGGAATAAATCCCCTATGATCTTTGTGAGTGTACCAACAAGTAAACCCTGCTAATCCCTGCTAATCTGCTCCAAGATGGGTTAATCTGGTACTTGCACACCTAGACACTCTGGATCACTCTGTTACACCAGTAACATTACCAAGAACTCAACGCATGAGTATAGATTGGATCAGTGGAGCACTGAACTGAAATGTTTGTTTAAGGTCACTCCATTAATGTCACGTTGAGAGCAGGAGGTATGGACCCAAAAGGCAGAACACCAGAACTACTCAGGCAGGAGCGGTTGCATGAATAAAAAATTCTTTAATTAGGATGATGAGCAAAAAATCCAAAAGGGCAGGAAGCTAAACCTAAAGTCTAAAACACTGAATGACAAAAACAAAAGCTCATTTATGAGCAAGAACCTAGAATTTCTAGAGGGGGACAAAATAACGCTGACAAAGACCATGGAACGACACACACTGAGGCCCTGTCCACACGTAGCCGGGTTTTTTAAAAACGAATATCTGCCCCTCCAAAAACTTGCATCCACACCACCTTGTTTTAAAAAAAAACTCTGTCCACACGTACCCGGATAAATACGTTGTTAAGGACATGCCAGACCTGTAGGCGGCAGTACTTCCCCCGTTCTTAACCTCGTCCTTCGTCTGTAGTCTTCCGCAAGGAGCAGTAATTCCTCTTGCAAAAACAAACAAGCAAAAAGCGCTTGGACCATTGATAAAGCGAGCGCAGCTCTGAGGGCATCCATGCTGTCGGCTAGTGTAAACACAGGTCGCACACGTGATGTCAGCATTTTTTTGTCGCGGAAAGTGACGTTGCGGACCTTAAAACTCCGGTTTTGTCCGTCCACACGCAGACACCCAAAACGGAGAAAACGCAGATCTTCACTTTGGCCGGAGTTTTTAAAAAGGTCCGTTTTCGTGTGAAAAAAACTCCGTTTTCGTGTGGAAGACAGGCCAAAACGTAGAAAAATATCTACGTTTTGGCAGATCCCCGGCTACGTGTGGACAGGGCCTCAGAGACAAGTCAGGGTTGTATACACAGAGGGAAGCAATCAGGGAAACAGGTAGCAGGTGTGTGGGGAGTGTGAGCTGAAGGGATCAGGAGAGACTTATTAAATAAGTGGGGGAGGAACACATTGTACCAAAGGGAAATACTAACCAGATAATATAAATATACAGATAACTAAAGATAAGTGAACTAATAAACCTGAAACTTGACACCAGAACAAACAAGAAACACTAAATCTTCTACTTGGGAAACTAAAGAGACCAGAACCAAAAGAGAGGCAATCTATGACACTAAATGGGATGGGATAACTAAGTATGAAGTGACTAGGGGGAACATGAGGGAGATGTGGAGGAAGCTGGGGACCAAAGAGGCACAGAAGATTTGGGGACAAATGAGGGAAACCTGAAGGGACACCTGGGGGGAAACCTGGAGGGGCTGGGGAGCCAAAAGGATACAGAAACGCTGGGGGGGGGGGGGGGGGGGGGGGGGGGGGGGCATTAGGGAAACCAGGAGGGAGCTGGGGACCAAAGGGGGCACAGATTAGGGGACACATGAGGGGAACCTGGAGGGAGAACTGGAGGGGGCTGGGGACCAAAAGGACACAAAACATGACAATTAATTCCTCCCGTAGGTCTATTTGTTACACCCAGCTGTGTAACAAATTAGTCACATGCTTTTAGTGTAGAGTGTTATTATTGTTAACATATTGGGTTCAGTGTGGTAATGTTTGGTCTCAGTAGCTTTTGTATAAAACAGGCTGGCACAAGAACTGTCCAGCTAAAGATTTGAACTAAGTACTCCCCTGTAATTATTAAGGGTTATTGGACAATAAAATGCAGTAAATGTTTGTCTGGATGGGGATTTCTACTCCAGTTACACAGTCTATACACAGCATTTTGTGATGGAAAACATCCAAAGCCAGATTCTCATATGGCTGAGACTGTCGGTGAAAAGTTTTAGACGGTATTTGCAAATCAATTTGTAAAATGCCTTGAAATGTTTACAAAGGTCCTGTTTCCTTGCATGTGTTCCAGTGCTTGGCGTTCATGTTTTTGGTGTTTTTTACCATGTTCAGTAATGTCCAAAGATGTTGCGAGAAAAACATCTGGAACACACCAATGAATTGTTTATGTCCAGGTGTGAAGGTCGTTAATACCCTACTTAGACGAGCTATTTTCACAACACATAATTCTGTCTGAAAGTGGAACTTTTTTAGAAATGAGAGGGCCGATCTGTTCTAATTTTATTTCCACGTCATTTGAAATGCTAGAATTAGTGTTGGAATCTATGTGTGTGTTCTCACCAGCTTCATCCTCATTTGGTTGTTGGTCATGATGTTCTGCAGGCTCATCGGGCTCAAAGCCCTGGTTTACTGTAGGATGAACGTCATATTAGCAGATTTGCTTCATGGAAGAATGTCCACAAGCACAGAGGAAAAAACATGTCACTGCATCAAACCTTCAGATTCCAAATCATCAGAGATATCCAGACCATCCATCATCCTCAGGATGCACAAACAGTAGTTAGAGTCAAATGTGTCACTGGAGAAAAGAAAAGAATAATAAAATAAAACAAAAACAACCTTAGAATTTGAAAGGATTCCTAGAATTAGTCTTTGGTTGTACTGGATTATGGACCATTTCTAGATTACATTGCCACAGAGCCAACAATAAACTATTTAGTTTGTTTTCTCTTGGAAAGGCACCAATAATATTAAGTTGCTTACTAAATTGTTTTGATGTAGTCTTCAATACTTCCAGGAGTGCTCTCCCTCCAGTTGGACTTGAAACCCAAAACCAGAGTGTTGGGTTTCAGCTTGCCAAGACCTGTGGCCTACAGAGGTGGAGAAGAACAAACAGGTCAAACAAGGTCAAACAAATGAGGTATTGCCTAAACATCACGAATGATGATATACAACAACAATCTGTTGATCAGGGTTGATGCCCCAACTTTACTTTAATGTTGAATGTTAAAATGTCCATAATGTTATATATTGTATTGTAAATAGGGCAACTTGAACACATGAGTAGGTCAGACACTGAGTCCAACCCTCGTAGAGCACAGACTCCAGATTAGACACCCCAACAGGACAGAACCTCCAAACAGGCCATAATGGCTTCAGTTGTTCAACGAAATAACAACAACTGTTTATATATGTTTATATGGTTAATGATAAAACTATAGAAAATTGAGTTTTACAAATTTTCATCAGGAATAGATGTTGTAGGGCTGTGTTGGTTGATGCAGCTCTGCAATATCACATGGACATTAGGGGCAGTTCCCCTGGACTGGCAGACCGGGGTGGTGGTGCCCCTATTGAAAAAGGGGGGCTGCAGAATGTTTTCCAACTACAGGGGGATCGCACTCCTGAGCCTCCGGGGTAACCTAACAAGCAATGTGGTTTTCATCCTGGCTGTGGATCACTGACCAGCTCTATACCCTTAGGGTGTCCTGGAGGGTGGGTGGGAGTTCGCCCAACAACTCTACGTGTGTTTTGTGGATTTGGAGAAGGAATTCGACCGTTTCCCTTGGGGGACAAATATGGGCTATCAGGCTCTCTGATATGGGCCATCAGGGACCGGTGTCAGAGCTTGGTCCGCATTGCCGGCAGTAAGTCAGGCTCGAGAGTTGGACTGCCAAGGGTGCCTTTTGTCACAGATTTTGTTCATAACTTTTATGGACATGATTTCTAGATGCAGCCAAGGTGTTGTGAGGATCTGTGCTAGCGGGCTAAGGATGTGGTCCTGTTGGCTTCATCAGAACGTGATCTCCGGCTTTGGCCGGAGTGGTTCCAGCCGAGTGTGAAGCAGCTGGGATGAGAATCAGCTCCTCTAAATCTGAGACCATGGTCTTGAGTCGGAAAAGGGTAGAATACCTTCTCCAGGTCAGGGATGAGGTCCCGCCTCAAGGGAAGGAGGCAGGACCTTGATCACGAGAATCGAGAGATCAACAGGCAGATTGGATCTACATCTGCAGTGATGCGGCTATGAACTGGTACGTCCTAATGAAGAGAGAGCTGAGCCAGAAGGCAAAGCTCCCAATTTACCAGTCAGTCTATGTTCCTACCCTCACCTATGGTCACGAGCTTTGGGTAGAGACTGAAAGAACAAGATCACGAATACAAGCGGCCGAAATGAGTTTTCTCCGCAGGGTGGCTGGGCTCTCCCTTAGAGATAAGGATGAGAGGCTCAGTCATACGGGAGGGGATCAGAGTAGACCTGCTGCTCCTCCACATCGAGAGGAGCCTGCTGAGGTGGCTCAATCATTTAGTAAGGATGCCTCCTGGATGCCTCCCTGGTGACGTTTTCCAGGAATGTCCAACCAGGAGGAGACTCAAAGGTAGACCCAGGACACACTGGAGGGACTGTGTCTTACGGCTGGCCAGGGAACGCCTTAGGATTCCCCTGGAGGAGCTGGTCCAAGTGGCAGGGGAGAAGGAAGTCTAGGCCTTCCTGCGTAGGCTGCTGCCCCTGCGACCCGATTCCGGATAAGCGGAAGAGAATGAATGTTTCTTCTTGTTCACATTACAAATGACACAAGATGATCTGTTGAATTTTATCCCTCTTGCCGGGAATCTTTATTTTAAAACTCACTCGCAGCAACAGCATTTACAAGCTTTACACAGGCTCTGACATCACTTCCTTCTTTTTCACTGGTGTTACACTCTAAAACCCCCGGGTGAAACACATAGCTGTAAAAAAAAAGCAATTCCTATTGCTACAGAATGTATCATGCATATAAATGAGATGATCCCCAAAAATTATTTTCACATCTGCATAAAAATACCCAATCTGATACAGTTACACTACAGGTTCCAATGGAAATTAAATCTTCTAACCTGTTTATTTTTAAAATTGATGTTAGCTTTGTTGGTAAATGCAGACAGAAGCCCAATCCCAATACTCGCAAGTACGTAGGGTGTCTCGATTCTCAAATGCGGAAGTTGATCACGCCGCTCATGCACCCTTGGTCCGCCCGTATTACCCACAATCCATTGCTGCGGGAGAAAAGGCTCAAGTGCCTTTTTTGAAAATATGCATTTTCAAATGAAAGTGGTTAATTTTAGGAAGATTAGGTAATGCTCTGAAACTTTCAGAGAAAGCAGCAATGCATGTACATTTATTTCAAATCATTGTTTGGTTGTTCGTTAGAAATTTTGTTAATAAAGTTTTTTTTAAAGTATCACAGCGACCAGAATCCCAGCATGCGTTGCGGTTGATGACGCAATGTTCCCTCTCTCAATTCTGCAATTATTTGCACACCTGTGTACTACGAACTCGAAGCCTTACAGCGCACTTTCTCCAAGTGTACTTTGCTGAAGACCACAGTGAGAGTACTGAGATTGGGCCAGAGAGCTAGAGACACCCCACCCTACCCTGGCAGAGGAAACATGTCCTACCTGTAACAAGTGTTTAGCTCCTTCTCTGATGCTGTCAGCGGTAAAAGGAGTGTAAAATGATCGAACCTTCCTCTTGTTCATCCACTTCACCAAGATGTCTGTCCCATCCTGAGACCGTGATCTTCTCTCCGGCTCCTAAGTAAGTTCAATAAGCTCAGTATTGTCTCCTCAAACACGAAGAAATCCAGTGAAAAAGACATTTGCTGAGTTAATATGCACAAAAAGAAACGTAAATCACATTTTTACTTACTGGATAAAACAAATTCTGTTAATAGGTGACGCCAGTGTATGTGGCACGCCGTCTGCTCCCTGCTTTCTCTAATGTTTTTGTTTGTGCTTGTATCTTGTGTGAGTACAGTAACCCTGCTGATTAACCTATGACTGTGAAATGCTACTTGAGCTACGTCAAAACCCTGTCTTGGAGAAATCAGAAACTTTGAATGATTGGCAGGATTTTGGGGTTTCATCTCGCTTCTGTATGGCACTACTGATCAAACTGCGGCAGATCCCGTCTCAGACCTGCTGGTGGAGACATCGGGGGTGTCGGGGGGGTGGGGGTGGGTGGGGGGGGACGTGGAGGGTGCTGTTTTTTGTTCTTTTCTTACACAGTTTAGTAAAAATATAGATTTTCCCCTGACATGTTTCAGCTAGTATCTCTAGCCATCATCAGAGATCACTGGTGTTGATGGCATCCCTTCCTTTAATCTGTGGGCAGCAAAGGCCCTCTGCCCCAGGGACGGTGGTCGACTGTTGCTTCCTGGGAGCTCTATAGGTAGGGTTAAAGTGGAGGTGGGGGTCTATGCTCCCCCTCCTCTGAGCGCCCTGACTTAGTGTGGAAGTCCTGATGCTGCCGGGGCAGACGGCTCCTCTGATGGCGTTTCCTTGCTTTACTATACTTGGCTCATCTGGAGTATGCTGAATATAAATTTTTACTGATGTGTGTGCGTGTGTGTGTGTGTGCACGTATGTGTGTGTGTGTGTGCACGTATGTGCGTGTGTGTGTGTGTGTGTGTGTGTGTGCACGTATGTGCGTGTGTGTGTGTGCATATGTTTGTTAATGTTTTTAAACTGTTATGGGAATTTGGGGTCATTTTGTAAAGCACTTTGCTTGAAAAAAGCTTTATAAATAAAATCGGATTGATTGATTGATTGATTGGTTGATTGATTGATTGATTGATTGATTGATTGATTGATTGATTGATTGATTGATAGGACAGTGTCGCCCTCTACTGCCCGCATCTTCCTTGCTGATCAACAATAGAAAAGAAAAACGAACCAACAAGAAGAACCAGAAATATAGAAAGACTAGAACCCAAACCAGTAATAACCTTTCTGTGTATCAAAGGCATATCAGAAAAAAAATTACAACAATGAAAAAAGAAAATATCAGGTTTCAGTAAAAGATTAGTACACTCAAAGGACAAGCAGAATAAAAATGTGGAGTCATATACAAAATACCATGCAAACTGCAATAAAACTGGAGAAACCGGACGCCAACTTAACACTGGAAGAATAGAACATCAGAGTGAGTGTGAGAGGAAAAGTCAAAGACAAGATGCAGAAAACACAATAAAGAAATCAGCTGGAACAGAGCACTGCACAAGGGAAACTCATATGATGGACTGGGACGGAACAAGTATCATAAACGCCGAACCACAAAAATACAAAAGATGGATCAAAGAAGCCATAGAAAAAAGGAGACGTGGGCACACAGTCATGAACAGATTGGATCACGCATGGGACTGTGTCATCAGCAAGGAGGATGCGGCTAGTAGAGGGTGACACCGTCCTCTGCTGCCCGCGGAAAAAAGAAGTAACGCCACCGTCACCGGCGATCTCTGATGATAGCTATACTAGTTCAAACATGTCAGGTAAAAAAACTGTTTTTTACTAAACTGTGTAAGAAAAGAACAATAAATGTACAACGAATAGAAACACAGAAGGAACGTACAAAACAGCTTAGCTGTCGGGTCCCACATACCGCCTTGTGGCTCCTTTACGTTTGTTGGATTCTGTTCCATCCTGCCTAGTACCGCTGGTGGGATTTGGACTTTGTATTCCTGTGGGTGACTCAAGTACTTTATTGGAAATATTACCAGTGGATTATACCTGTTTTAATGTCCCACATTTATCCGGAAGAGGGACATTATGTTTATGTATTTATTTAAAATCTGGGATGGCTAACCAAGATAAAGCCTCTCTTGTCAAGAGCACATTTGGAAACTGTACTACATGTTTTTTTTTCATGTCCCGCCTCGACTATTGTAACGCGTTGTATTCTGGACTGAGTCAGGCTGCCACTGCACGGCTCCAGCTAGTCCAAAACTCTGCTGCCAGATTTCTGACTACTAGAAGGAGGGAGCACATTGCCCCTGTGTTAGCTTCTCTGCACTGTCTCCCGATGTGAATGTGTGCAAATGAGTGGATGAATGTGTTGTGAAGTCCCTTGGGGGGGTGTAGAACACTAAAAGGACCCTATACAAATAGAGACCATTTGCCATTTAATTATGTTTTCCCTAATGAAAAATCAGCGATTGAACTCTTACTAATAAAATGTCTCCACAGATCATCAGGCTGATTTGTTTAGTGAAGCAGGCGACAAAGTCCACCAGTGCAGGCCGCTGGTTTGGAGACCCAGTCAGAACAAGGCATTGTGGCCTAAAAAAATGAGAATGCAACAAATGGGGTCAATAGGTCATGAGAAAGAAAGTGGTTTTTGTGCCCTGCATTTTAAATATCAGGAAATGGTTAACAAAAAAAAAATCATGTTCCAAAACTGTTTTGATCTAACCTCAAGTGTACACAGTATCACAAAATGGTAAAAGCTCACGTATAAAACCATTTGCATTTCCCCTAAGACGCCCCCCTTGATAAAACTAAGGTCACTTCCCGAACACAAAGCAAAACTCGTTGAACCACCGCATTTTTTGACAAGCCGTCAGAACCTGTTGCACGCTAACGCTGGCACAGCAAATGGGTCCTTAAGAGTCCTTCCTTAGACGCAAACAACTACATGTTGTGCCCTGGAGACAACTGGAGACTGGTCTAGTGGTGCTGCGGTTTCTCCTACGGACTTTGGTGCCTTGGTGTCCACGGACTTCCTGACATTCCGGATCTACAACGGGGGTCTCATATAAAGGGTACGTAGGCGCGACAGATTGCGTCTGATGCCGTTTTATAAACCATCACTTCTAGTAGATAGCAGACCAAATATCAATCACACTCAGTTCTCAGTTTCTTCCAGATACGAGGGTTCTGATAAACATCTCATCTATGATCACACCGCAAACTCCAACACACTTCCTTCTTTCATGGTTGTCATGTCTTATAATTTGTTTAGAAAATAAATTTCTTACTTTTTATAAACTTGACTTTGTCTGAATTAATATGAAGGGTACTTATGGTCCATGAATAAGCAAAGAATCCTAATTCTTCTGGTAATGTATTCAAGGATCAGTCAGGTTGATATTCTATTGTTATATGGAATCATCAAATCTTATTGATCATAATTAAAACCCCAAAATACATATGTAGGCAAACCCTACATATTGGCTATTTGGGGCTATTTGTTTAATAAACTTCTTGTAAATTTTGCCCCATTTCATCAAAATCAGAGCTGCTCATGGTTTCTGTTTATCTATTATTATTATTTTTAATTTTACATTTCCCCTGACAATATACCCCCCCCCCCTCCCCCAAATTGGGTTTTTACAACAGGACTACAAATGCAAGGACAACAATTGCAAATTTGTCCGGACCTACCAAAATCTACAGTGTCTATGTGCTAACTTAACTTTTACAAATGTGGAGTGACCTCATCGGAAGGTGCAGCACCCTGAGCAGGCTCATGTAAATTATGGCGTCTAACATAATGTCTGCTAGAGACTTAGACCCATGCCCTATGTATTTTAGACCCAACTTTTACTGTTATATGTTTCGAAGCCACCAATATTTTTCAACGAATGGAAATAATTTTATTCATTTTCAACAACATTTTGATGGATATTTGCAGAGATTGAGTTACAAGCACACATTGTTTCTTAAAGGTTGGGACAGATGGCCAGGGGGGCTGGGTAGGGGTGTGCTTTGTAATGCATTACTTAATATTAAGATTAATTTGTTAAGCAGTGGTTAATGCTTTATTTATTAGTGTATTAATGCTTTATGGGCTCGACATATGTGAGGCGACATCGCCTCTCCTCCATTCATTTTCAATGAGACATGCGCGACAAAGCGATAATCGCGGGTCTCACTCCTACTTAGCGAAACGCGAAAAACGTGCGTGTGAAATGTTGTGCTCGTGCACGTGTCGACAGACATGGAGGAGAAGTTGATTATTATTATGTTTTATAGTAAAATCAGAAGTAAGATTTCACATAACTCCAGCAGCACCTTGTGAAACATCATATCTACCACTTTATTAACTCTGAACCGCTTAAATAACCTTAATTCCCTCCAACCTGACACAGCCAAGCAAAACAACGGAAATTTCGATTTCGCCATGGAACAGAACGCGTAGACGGCTTTGGCGCTGGCCGTTTAACCAGAAGTGGGAGTGGTTTACATCAATACATTATTTTAAGTCTGATCAGAAGTTGCTATGTGTATTGTTTATTTGAAAACTATTTACAGAGCAGCCTCAGAATTGAGATTAAATGTTTTTGATCATAATAGTAAAGGAACTATTACAGAACAAGTTTTTCAATAAAATCAGAACATTCATATTTAAGTGCATGAATTAAGAGAGAGAGAGAGAGAAGAAAAGATCTTTTATCTAGCGCATCTCAAGATAAAAATCACAGGGCGCTTCACAAAAACAAAACATGTAAAATAGAAAAAATAATTTAGAAAATGATTAAAATACGTTTAAAATGAGCAAAAAATAGACAACTGTGATTAAAAAAATTTAAAGAAAGAGAGAGAGTGAATAGGAAAGAGGGAGTGGATCCTGAGGAAGAGGAGAGAGGAAAAAATACCCGACCGGAGCGGAGGCAGTGACTGACGCAGCACGAGCCGTTTTCAGCCCTGTCTTGTCAAATGCACCTCGTACGTTACTAAAAAAGTAACTTTAAAGTGACTTTAAAAAGAACCAAACCGAAGAAAACATAGGTAGTACTGAAGAAAGGTGAACAGTGAAGCCAGCAAAGAGAGATCCGTTACTGTCTGCGTGTGTGTGAATGGATGAACAGGACGCGGACTGAGCTGTGAGCTCCCGGCTGCAGAGTTTTGTGTGTAGGGAGGGGCGGGCGCTCTTTTTGACTGGCCAATCACAGAGCGTGAAGACAGTCAGTTACCCAATGAGGATTTTCCTTCAGCACGATTACAGATATTTACGAGTTTTACTCGTTTCATGCTCGTACTCATCAAAAATGCTTTATCCGTACAGGATGCTCGTCTGAAACGAGTATCCGGCTCATCCCTACATCTTGGATGGCTTACCTGAAATTCTTGACATGATCCTCCACACCAGTCAGAGAGACAGAATATGACAAGGCCATGTTGTACGTTCCTGCTTGAACTGAAGAACCCCAGTTTACCTCTGTGAGGAAAGAACAATTTTTATGTTTTTTTGAGAACAAGAAGTTTGATTTTCAAATACCCAACAGGTCAACGTGTCAGTTCTGAACCAATGGAGGGACAAACACTATAACTTTACCTTTTATTGGTGCAATCCAATTTAAATTGGGCAGGTTCAAAACAACATGGCTGCAATGTAGTTCACTAGTGGCTGAGATCTTAGAAATATATGTAACTCAAGCGGATATTTTTTAATAAACACCTTCTACTGAAATATTCTTCCTCAAAAATAAAACATAATTCGTTACAAATCAGCCAATTGAACTGTGCAGTTGTAAATAAAGCATGACAAAAATGATTTTATACTTTTTTCAACCTTAAAGGTGAACTATGTAAGAATTGGACATTATAATAAACACAAAACAGTCCCGTGTGTCTACCACTTTGCAGGGAAGGTTACGATACCAAGACCTCCTTTTCAGCTGGCTGGGGGAACGCCAGGTTTTCTGTTTTCAAAAAAACAGCTGGGTCGTGACAGCCTTTCTGTTAACAAACGGCGCCCCCCCTCATTCTCCCTGGTCCCAGAGCCAATCATATTTTAGTCTGTGGCGTTCAAGGGAAGTAGGGGCGCTGAGGGTGCTGCAGCACCCCCTTGTGGATGACAAAATGTATGCATGTCGACATTCTGCAAGCAAAAGTAAAAGTATTTTATTAGATTTTGTTTTGAGTTTAACAACACACACTATAAATACATAATATTATTTTCAAAACCATTTATGTCTTATATATATGACATGTGTGTACACACAAATGGGGACACTTGTTTGTTAATTTGCCTGTTGATTCGTTATCGGGATGGGAAACTCACTAGATTGTCTATATACTTTTTGTTCATGTATTTCGAAGAAGAGCTCCACGTTGGTTTTCCGTTGATTAATGCGGCCGCTGCTTTGGTGTAAACCGGCGTAACATTTATTTACGTATTTATGTAGAGCAAGGGTGGCAAATACACACCTCAGACATGTGTTGGATATATGAGACATGATGATGCAGCGTTTCATCAGCGCAATTCCAGAGCGCAGGAACAATTTTGGAGTGCTATCGTAGAAGTAAGACCGATTTGATTATTGCACTTTGTTCACTCTGTGTGGATAGGTTGATCCGATCTGTGCTTGTTACCGTGGTCCTTAACTCATTCACTGCCATTGACGACTAAAGTCGTCATTTAAAATCCAACCGTTCACTGCCAATGACGATTAGTCATCATTTGCTTTTTTTTTTTTTACTGTTTGAGCATCGGAACGAGCCCCCGCACCGAGAGAACAAACATCTCAGCTCTGAAGCCGATCTTCATCCTCATATGTCACATGTCACGTGATCAGGAAGCAGAAAATCCATGTGTTAGGAGATCGTTTTGGGCCTTTCCTGTAAAAAAAAAGTGAGGCACGAACCGGAAAAGCATCTGCCAATCACAATTTTACAACGGATTATGAAAGAACGGATAAGGCTCGAAAGGTGCGGATTCTTCCTGATGTAAGAGGTGAGTCTCCTCTTTGTTTTGGTGTCGACGTCATCCTAGCGCGCAACGTTCTGTGACTCTTAAAAAAACAGTAAAAATGGTGAGAAACGCTGGCAGCGAAGGCCGTTAGCGATCAGGAAACGGCTGGCAGTGAATTAGTTAATTGCACGAGTTACGTTCAAAAAATAACACTCAAAATCCACAAAGTAGTCAACTTTATTTTTTACACGTTTAGCATACGCAGCTACATTTTGGGTCACACACCAAAACACACCTGACTCCGTTTCTCAACAATTTTGTTCCCAGCATTTAAGCAGATTAGCGTCTCCTCCTTCTGTGCAGGAGCGCAGATTACTGATGCGCTCCAGCTGTGGCTCAGTGCGCACTCCTCTCCCCACACGTGCTCGTCCCAGCGCACTGCAGCAAAAACTCCTCACTACACACCTTATGCACTTATGCACTTATTTCAGATATGCAATACCGATTTCACTTGTCTCTCGTGTTTAAACTTTCTCAAAGTTCAAACCTTGAGACGCTGACCACAAAGCACTGTAAAAAATAAAAATAAAAAAAGCCTTCATAGTGGAGCTAAAAACGTGTGTGAAAGGTGAACCGTTAACCGTTACCACACTGATGTTTGCTGATATTGGTTTGAAACGTTTTTTCTGTGGTGTCACGTGCACATAAGCAATGGGTTCAGTTTTGTTTTTAGTTTCCATTGCATTAAATGAGATGTTCTTTTTGGGTGGTTCTGTTTCTGTTGATAAACACTTAGGTGTCAGATCTGTTGTCTGAAGAGCTGCACAGCATCAGTTCCCTTGCCAACGAGCGGTTCGGTGTGGATTCTGGAAGTTTTGACTTGTTATTTGTGGGTTTTCCCATTGTTGATCGTAATAACTCTGGCTCTTGGAGGGTGCAGACGCTTTTCCTCTCCTCTCCTCCATATCTTATCCTCAAGGCCCTTTGTCTGTCTGTGTGTGCTGGGTGTACGGCTGCTTCTGCATTTTTCTGGAAACTGAAATTCACTTAAATGGATCTCGTCGGTTGGTCTCTCAACGCGATTGATAACATTTTTTGAACAATGAGAACGGGAGAAGGGGCTCCCGGATGCCCCGCTGGGACAGACCCAGTTGGACACATCATGGACTCCTGGAAACAGTGGAACTTGATCTGTTTATCTCGGCTGTCGGTGGAGGACTCTGAAGACGTGTGGATATTCGTGGTGTTGGTGTCAGGTTTCCTGCTCATTGGCCTTGGAGGCTACCTGGCTTACCGGAAAATTAACGAGCTATCGAGGAATATTGGCCTGATCCCGGAGCTCAGAGATGGTTTGCACCGCGCTGTGAATTCACAGACTCACATAACTGTCGAGATGAATCATAAGCTTGGGACTTTGGCGGAGATTCATTATTGGCACAAAAGATGGATGCCATCAAGGAGAGAGTGGATGAATCAGCACGGATTGGGATAGGTTAACATCCATTATTGGGATTTTGAGAGGTTGAGGACCAGCAAACTGTAAGACAGCGAGGAAATTTTCTCTGTCTGGCCCCAAAACAATTTCTAATCGGAATCTGGTGCCCATGAGCCTGCAAGGCTCCAACGAAAACTCCCCCCTCAGAAGATATGTGGAATGTTCCGTCGCTATGGCAACTCAACTCTGTCTCCTATCCCAGCCTGGGCGGGACTGCGGGAAGGTCACTGAAGCATTCCAGGGTCACTGCAACCCTCAATGCTCCACCCCCTATTCACACTGAGGTGACATGCGCTGCTTATCGTGGCTGCAGGAACTGAAGTGGGGATAGTCCCAACCCACCACCCCACCTAGTGGACACTTATGTTGTGTTGTCTGAAGTCTGTTGCATACATGTTTGAGGTGTTTTTTTGCAGAGCAAAGCTGCCCTCCTGGTGGGAGGGTAACTGTGAAGTGCCTTTTTCCCTCCACCTGAACCAATCCTCATGTAACCCTCTTATCTCTATTAAGGTAGCGTGACTCAGGGTTGCGAATGACCACAGTCACCAATTCTTGTCATGTGTCTTGCCCATGTATGTCTGACCTCTGAATTGTGTGTACTGAAACTCTAATTTCCCTCTGGGATTAATAAAGAATCTTTGATTTGATTTGATTGAACGTAATGCTCCACTCTCCACAACCGGCTACAATCTCCAGCCATGAGGAGCCTCTCTCCTCTCTGTTTAGTAGAAACAGTGTTGTGGAGTGACCTGAAGCCAGCACATGGTGCAGTAGTGAAGGATTTTCTTGTCAACATAAGAAGCCTCCATCCATCCCAAAGACTGAAGAACAGGAGAAATACAATGAAGCTAAACAAAGATATCTACAGGTCCTTCTAAAAAAAATTGCATATTGTGGTAAAATTCATGATTCTCTGTAATGAACTGATCAACATTGGACTTTCATATATATTAGATTCATTGCACACAACTGAAGTAAATCAAGCCTTTTACTGTTTCTAATATTGATGATTGATTGATTGATTGATGATCAGGTAACTTATGGTGGCAGCATAGAGAGTTGGAAAATCCATATGTGGCAGAGGAGTTCAATGCCCACCTTGTAACCAGAGTGTTGCAGGTTTGCGTCCCATCTGTCGCAATTATTGTGGATGAATGAATGGTTGGATGGAGGGACCTGCAGTGCCTGTGTTTGACAGCTTCGCCTCTGTCAGTGCACCCCAGAGCAGCTGTGGCTACATCACCACCGGCACGTTTGTGAATGGGTGAATGAGTGGTTAGTTGTCAGGTGCCTTGGGAGGCATCAAACACAGGCCAGTTACCATTATTTACCAGTTAAACAGTCTGATTCATTCAAGTTAAGATTCATCCAGGAAACAGCAGAGAACATCTTTACTAGTAGGACCTAACTCTTAGCATTAGCAACTCCACCACATGGCAGAACTCCTTCAGGCTTGAGCTATTAGATAAAACATCAATAGTGGTAGAGCTGTGTTGTTGTTATCCAATCAGAGAAGAGATGTCCAAATATCAGGAAATAAAACTCAAATTCTGTTGTCTGAAGCTTTTTTTTTTTGCTCTGACTGAATTCTCCATGCTGAAACAGGCACACCAGAGCTAGACCACGACTTACACGGCATTCAGTATTCAGTCCTACTACCGTTTGGCGGGTTCATGTGTCATCAAAACATTTGTAGTGGTGTGTCTGTGTGTCGGAAGTTTGTAGTGGTGTGTGACGTGTGTCGGAAGTTTGTAGTGGTGTGTGACGTGTGTAGGAAGTTTGTAGTGGGTGTGTGACGTGTGTAGGAAGTTTGTAGTGGGTGTGTGACGTGTGTAGGAAGTTTGTAGTGGTGTGTGACGTGTGTCGGAAGTTTGTAGTGGTGTGTGACGTGTGTCGGAAGTTTGTAGTGGGTGTGTGACGTGTGTCGGAAGTTTGTAGTGGTGTGTGACGTGTGTCGGAAGTTTGTAGTGGTGTGTGACGTGTGTCGGAAGTTTGTAGTGGGTGTGTGACGTGTGTCGGAAGTTTGTAG